TACTTCTACCTTTACTCAAGAACAAGATCTGAGTACTTCTATTTTTACTACAAGATCTGAGTACTTCTACTTTTACTAAGTACAAGATCTGATTACTTCTACTTTTACTCAAGTAAAATATCTGAGTACTTCTACTTTTACTCAAGTACAAGATCTGAGTACTTCTACTTTTACTCAAGTACAAGATCTGAGTACTTCTACTTTTACTCAAGTACAAGATCTGAGTACTTCTACTTTTACTCAAGTACAAGATCTGAATAATTCTACTTTTACTCAAGTACAAGATCTGAGTACTTCTACTTTTACTCAAGTACAAGATCTGAGTACTTCTACTTTTACTCAAGTACAAGATCTGAGTACTTCTGCTTTTACTCAAGTACAAGATCTGAGTACTTCTACTTTTACTCAAGTACAAGACCTGAGTACTTCTACTTTTACTCAAGTACAAGATCTGAGTACTTCTACTTTTACTGAAGTACAAGATCTGAGTACTTCTACTTTTACTAAAGTACAAGATCTGAGTACTTCTGCTTTTACTCAAGTACAAGATCTGAGTACTTCTACTTTTACTGAAGTACAATATCTGAGTACTTCTACTTTTACTCAAGTACAAGATCTGAGTACTTCTACTTTACTGAAGTACAAGATCTGAGTACTTCTACTTTTACTAAAGTACAAGATCCGAGTACTTCTACTTTTACTCAAGTAAAAGATCTGAGTACTTCTACTTTTACTCAAGAACAAGATCTGAGTACTTCTACTTTTACTAAAGTACAAGATCCGAGTACTTCTACTTTTACTCAAGTAAAAGATCTGAGTACTTCTGCTTTTACTCAAGTACAAGATCTGAGTACTTTTACTGAAGTACAATATCTGAGTACTTCTACTTTTACTCAAGTACAAGATCTGAGTACTTCTACTTTTACTGAAGTACAAGATCTGAGTACTTCTACTTTTACTCAAGAACAAGATCTGAGTACTTCTACTTTTACTGAAGTACAAGATCTGAGTACTTCTACTTTTACTAAAGTACAAGATCCGAGTACTTCTACTTTTACTCAAGTAAAAGATCTGAGTACTTCTACTTTTACTCAAGAACAAGATCTGAGTACTTCTACTTTTACTCAAGTACAAGATCTGAGTACTTCTACTTTTACTGAAGTACAAGATCTGAGTACTTCTACTTTTACTCAAGTACAAGATCTGAGTACTTCTACTTTTACTCAAGTACAAGATCTGAGTACTTCTGCTTTTACTCAAGTACAAGATCTGAGTACTTCTACTTTTACTCAAGTACAAGACCTGAGTACTTCTACTTTTACTCAAGTACAAGATCTGAGTACTTCTACTTTTACTCAAGTACAAGATCTGAGTACTTCTAGTTTTACTCAAGTACAATATCTGAGTACTTCTACTTTTACTCAAGTAAAATATCTGAGTACTTCTACTTTTACTCAAGAACAAGATCTGAGTACTTCTACTCAAGTACAAGATCTGAGTACTTCTACTTTTACTACAAGATCTGAGTACTTCTACTTTTACTCAAGTACAAGATCTGAGTACTTCTACTTTTACTACAAGATCTGAGTACTTCTACTTTTACTCAAGTACAAGATCTGAGTACTTCTACTTTTACTCAAGTACAAGATCTGAGTACTTCTACTTTTACTACAAGATCTGAGTACTTCTACTTTTACTCAAGTACAAGATCTGAGAGCTTCTTCCACCTCTGCATAATCTACTGTTTAAAATCTACATCAAGTAGAGTTTTGATGTACAATAAGAACAGTCAATCGTCTTAATATTTGTTGAAATATTGAATTAAAAGATGTGTTTCAATCGTCTAAATGTGTTATTATACTGTATGTTAAGAAACACTGACACACTCTGAGCAGTTTATCATGGTTTAATAAATTGTATTTAACTGAAATTTGTGCGACTTAAATCTATGTTTGCTTTTAAGGATCTTCCTGGTATTTAAAAGGAGAGGTCAGATTTGAGCTTTATCCCACACACATTATTGGCGCGTTTCCACTACACGGCCTCGCTCGGCCCCGCTCGGTATGGCTAGGCCTCGTTAGGACTGGCTCACTTTATGGCGCATTTCCATTACAGTTTAGGAACTGGGGCAGTATCTATAGTAACGCAGTGTAGGCGGAGCCGTGACGTGATCTTCAGAGGACCCCAGAAAAACAACACAGCCGTTAGCTGTTAGCACTCAGAGCTCACAGCTCCTCATATCTGTTCAGAAACTAGACAAAAGTTAAACAAGTACAAACCACAGACTGCCTGTGTCATGGTGAATACAGTCGCTGCTTTATTTATGTCTGTATAGGCCGTTGTTGTGAGTGTGGACGGTCGGAGCATATACTGCGTTAGCTTAGCCAATCTCCATTTAGAAAACAAGCATTTTAAAGCTCCCATGTCATGCTTTTCCGGTTATTACCCGTCCCCTTGTGTGTTATGAAGGTTTTTATGCATGTAAACGGTGTGCAGAGTCAAAACCCTCAAAGTACACCCTGTAGCGAGTAAAACTCTAACACAGAAAATACCTCCCCAAAACGCCTCGTTGGAGATACGTCACTGCCCATTTGATTCTTCCGGGTACCGCCTGATGTCATGCGGTACCCGGAACGAAATGGACCAATCCCGAAGAGCTATGGCCACACCAGCAGCGGCGTGTTCCTCCTCCAGAGGTTCGATGAACCGGCATTTCACAGACGAAAGCTTCCAAAACATTGCCCAGTTTGAGGCCGGATATGCACAGCTTGTTTGGACCGTTTGGAGCAGGGGAAGATCTGGGTATACAACCTGTAAGTTTGCATTGTTATTTGTGTATTTATCAAACAAGACTGTTTAAATGTGTAAACTGTGTTGGACTGCTAAGCCATTGACACAGTGCTAACTGTGCTAACTAAGTTGCTAGAGTTTCCATATATCAACTCTAATATCAGCAGATGGCCTTGCATACATGTATCTCATAGCAGGAGAATGTCTGCATTCACACACAAAATACCTATTGACAGTATACTGCGGGTGATTTGCCGGTCAGTCGCGAAACGTAATTACATTATAGCTGGCGTAGCGATCTAACACACGGAGCTTGAGCTAGTTTTGGTCAGAAAAACATTTTTTGTGATGCTACGTTGCTAGCGTTTAAATATATCAACTACAATGTCAGCAGATGGCCTTACATGTTTGTCATGGCAGGAGAATGTCTGCAGTCACACACACGGAATACTCATACAGTATACTCCGGTTTACCGTACATTGTGACCGTACATATACTGCATGTAGCTAACGAGGCTAGCTGTATGCTAGCGCAAAACAATGTATTCATGCAAGTTACATTGTATGGTAGCAGAATACCCGTATACGATTGCAATTATAAACACGTTATTGCTAGCCTAATATGAACCACTAGCTTTTGTTCATAGTAGTTTTATTACACTGCATTATAGTTGCCTTTCCTCCAAGCTAACGTTCATATCGTGTTAGCTACCAAGGTAAACAAAGCTAGGTTAGCATATTAGCAGGCAAGCTGTTCATTACACAACTACTACTAACGAATCTAAAACAACTAAGTTTCTCTAATATTTTGTGATTTGCATTTGATTTCGTCCAGCCAGATCCTGGCGGACAATCCATGACGGGGAAGGGATTCTACTACTACTGAGGCGTCGTGCTAAAAGGCACCGCACCGCACCGGCTGTGCGCAGGCAAGAGGAGGAGGAATGGATGATATACCGTGTATATATGTATATTTATGTTCATTTTGTACATTTCTAAAAATAAAGTTTAATGGAAATACTTAGTAGGCCTATCCTTTCTTCCCTGAATTCATATATAGCAAACCATGATTTGATTTCTCATCAAACAGTAGTAGTTTATAACGGGTAAAAATAACTTACTCTTTGTTATGAGCGGCTCGTAGGCCACAACGGAAAGACAAGGAGACATACACGAGTTTACAAAACCACGGCACATTTATTGTGGTAAATGCAAAGATAGGTGGTTGAGAGGATCGCAGAGTTAGTCTTCCTGCAGCCGCTTTGGAGAGAGACTGGGGCCGTAGTGTCCGGAGGTGTCCGTGATCGTGCTGATTAGCTTCTTCAGCTCCACCCCATCGTAAGACAAAGGCCCTGGGGCCGTCACACTCTTCTATAACAGTTAAAAATATATATGTATATAAAATATACCGCTGTACCGACGCCATGATAAGACTGATGTTACGCTGAGAGCAGCCGGGAAAAGCACTGACATGGGCGCAGCCTCTCTGGTGGTTGACTAATCAGAACGAGTGGCCGAGCTGACCAATCGGAGCACACTAGGCTCACAGGGAGGGGGGGGCAAGAGCTCCAACGAGTCGTTTAGTGGAGAAAGTGAATACTGCTGAATACACATGCTTGACAGAGATGCTGTATGCGAAACCAATGTGAGTTTGGAAAATTGCACAGTATAAATCTATTTTAGTATACCTCAACAATGTAATTATGATCAGTGGAAATGGCCATGACATGGGCCCTTTAAAAGGTTTTTCGCCTGCCGTCTGTCTGCAGACTTGTCAAAGCATTAATTCATGGTTTTACTAACCGGTATCAGTATGTTGTTACTTCGGCATCATTTTGAAACGTGTATTACAATTAAATCACGGTCAAATATGTCCATCTTGTTGTAGTTGTAGCCCCCTTGCCAGCTATTCTCTCTCTAGTTTAGCATACTCAGCCCGACTCAGCCTCGTTGTCTCTGGCCCTAGACCCGCGATTTTATGAGGCCAGAAAAACTGTGAATTAGGACCCGCCGGCCGGTACTAGGCCAAGTGGAAACGCAACCAAAGACGGGCCGCTGACGTCACAGCCCTCTTAAACCGTGCTCCGCGCTGTAGTGGAAACGCGCCATATGTAGCCTACATCACATTACTTTACAGATAAGTAAATCACATTACTTCATACGTAGTGTGTGCATGATTCACATGTTCTTCCAAGGACAAAGAGAAGCAGTCTCTTTTAAAATTGTACAACTTTATTCAGGACATCCTGCGACAGATCAGCCAGACAGTAAAATGTTGAAGATTTCATCAACAAACAGAGTTAGAAAAGGTTAAAAAGAGAATAACATGAGTATGCAGTCAAAGAGCATTTCATCTCTCCGCTCTGACGTAGTGTCCTCCTTACTGCCCCCCCCAGTCATCCGTTTCCTCTCTTTCTAATTCATATTAACTTCCTTTCTGTCTCTGTTTCTCCTCAACGATGGCCAGAGGGGGCGATTAGCTGTTTCATTCAACTCCAGCATCCAGGGTTCACTTCCTGCTCTTCTGTGATTGGCTCTCGGTTACCATGGAGGAGACATTGGCTGTGGGTTCTGGAGGTAAGACATGACGACTGCTGAGATGGAAAGCCTGCAGAAGAGAGAGAGAAAGCGTCGTATTAAAAGGTGCTTCGACAGCACAACTTGAATACATGACTACCTTAGTTCAATGTGTTTTATGAATAGAGCGCTGCAGGAATGATTCCTAAAAACTGGAAGTGAGTTTACGTGTTTTGCACTTCTGGTTCCTGCCTATGTAAATGGGTTTTGGTTACACGCCTAAAAAGAGAGAGTATTCATGTTTGTTTTTGGTATTTTTTAAGCTTTACCAATCTCAAAAAACGATGGTTTCTAACAAGTGTCTAAATGAGACGACTAAACGTAATCACGACCAACGTTAGCCACCTTTAGCTTAGCATGGTGACGTGAAGTCATGTGACTGTGCTGTAGTTCCTTTATAGCCCAACATTAGCCGCCTTTAGCTTAGCGGTGGTGACGTGAAGTCATGTGACTGTGCTGTAGTTCCTTTATAGCCCAACATTAGCCTCCTTTAGCTTAGCGGTGGTGACGTGAAGTCATGTGACCGTGCTGTAGTTCAGATATATCGATAAAAAAAAAAAAATCAGCAATAATCCAAAACTCATCTTAACAATACGTCGTCCCTACACCACTCTATTGGGGTGATACATGAAAGTGTGTAATTGTGTATTTTTTTATCAATACTTTTATAAAGTAATTTTTTACATGTCAATATTTACATGTAATTCACATTCAAATGTATACAATATTTGTTCATAGAGATTACTGCCCCTTATTTTTGTCAAATAGGAGACGCTACCCTAAACATTTTACCTTTTTTTTCTGTGTTTCAATTACAGACTGTATATAAGGTTGCAACATGGCACACCATGACACACACTTGACTGCAATTAACACTTTATTCATAGGATAATTTGAATTAGGAATGTCTCAAGGACGAATCCCATGCAGCCCGAGTCTTCAAATAAAAAAAACACGGCGCCGACACCTGAGCATCGTTATCGAGGTGTAAGAGGTTTTGCTAACTTGGGAGTTTTCTTTCTTTCTTATTTGCATTCGTTGCGGTTCATGGGCTCATTTGCTTGTGTGACATTTAAGAAAATTACTTTTTAATATTGCCTTTGAAGCAAAAACACACTTCAGTTGTCTTTTAATTATCAAGCGAGGTATTTTGCTGACAAGTTTGGCATTTAATGAAACACTGAGCACAGGTATAAAGTATAAAGACTGTGGTATTTTTTTAAGCTTTAACAGTCTTAAAAAAAGGGGGTTGCTAACAAGTGTCTAAATGAGACGACTAAACGTCATCACGCCCAAATGTAGCCACCTTTAGCTTAGCGGTGGTGTTGTGAAGTCATGTGACCGTGCTGTCGTTCCTTTATAGCCCAACATTAGCCTCCTTTAGCTTAGCGGTGGTGACGTGAAGTCATGTGACCGTGCTGTCGTTCCTTTATAGCCCAACATTAGCCTCCTTTAGCTTAGCGGTGGTGACGTGAAGTCATGTGACCGTGCTGTAGTTCCTTTATAGCTCAACATTAGCCACCTTTAGCTTAGCGGTGGTGACGTGAAGTCATGTGACCGTGCTGTAGTTCCTTTATAGCCCAACATTAGCCGCCTTTAGCTTAGCGGTGGTGACGTGAAGTCATGTGACCGTGCTGTCGTTCCTTTATAGCCCAACATTAGCCGCCTTTAGCTTAGCGGTGGTGTCGTGAAGTCATGTGACCGTGCTGTAGTTCCTTTATAGCCCAACATAATTGAATCAAACATGTATGGAGGCAGGTTATCCTGATAATCCCAATGTCATGCCTGCCCTCCACAGCTCTTCCATCCTGTATTCCCCCCCTCTCCCTTTTGTTTAACACACTGACATCAGATCTTGGCTGCAGACGGATGTCCTGGCCTTGAAGCAGCTTTTACGCTCCGATGTATTACGTTCATTGTCTGCCAAACATTACGCTTTACTAAACTCTGAGTGCATCAAGACCGTCTTAAACACAACCTCATCTCCACGATTGACCGGGAGTTTTCCTTTTTTTTTTTTAACTTATTGTAAATCAGAGTGCGGGGCCTGGACACGTAGTAGTTCTGTTTTATAAGCAGATGGAAGTGGAGGTCACACAGTTAAAAGCTTTTGGACGTTACAGTTGGCTCAGCGCGAGTCTCAGAGGCAGACAGGAGCGTAGATGAATAATTCAGGAGTATAACGTAAACAAAAAGTACCTTTTATTAGTTGTCCTAATTATAGAGACTTTAAAAGATACATGGGGAGCCTTGCACTGGATGGAGACGTTTAATTTAATATCAGGATACCAAAGGAATATTATTCTTGTGGCAAAATGTATAGCAATAAGACAAATTCATGCCAAATAATCAATTCAATCCATCCATGTGTTCCACTGTTATTCTCTATTTAAAGGTGTTCACAAATGACACACTTTAAATTACTACATTTTACCTTAAAGGTCACCTATCATGCTATCTTTAGGCAATAGCATAGGTTTCAGATATTTACAAATATATAAAAAACATGTCTATGAAGTGTTTTGCTCAAAACACCAAACAGATCATTCTAGCCATGCCTCATATCCCTCTATTTCACTTCCTGTTTCAAAAGTGCTGATTTGGGGTATAAAGCTTTAAAAAGGAGGGGTCTGAGCTCATGCGGGACCCGGCAGCTACTGTCTAAACTAAATACTGCCGTGATGAAACGCCATATCATGGATTATCAAGGATTCTCTCTGAAACAGTATGGAGCTCAAAGGCTTTCTCTCTTGCCGGTTATACCACAAGGTGAGTTCCTTTTTATTTCCTGCTTCTTCACACACATGCTCTCCAGTACAGGTTAGCTCTGAGTGTTAGCGATGCTAATGTAAACACCGACCATATTACGTCCAAAACAGTCGGGCATTGTTTCTGATAGCAACGTTTCTGATAGGGCCGTGGGTCCACATTTCAGATATTACGTCATATCGGACGCAAATCTGGATCAGCTCCGTTGTTCCCCCGTTTTTAGAGATTTGGGTACGGAGGAAAAGAGAGAGGGTTTTATTTTCTGACGCTGCGTGAGTTCCCCGACACACCGGGGACACATGTTTATGTAGAAAAGACATCAAAAAGTGCATTTTGCATGATAGGTCCCCTTTAAGATATCCACATTATATGATATTAAAACTGAGCAAAACATAAAAAATACACATTTCAGAGGCAAAAAAAAGCTTTTTCTGACATTTGAGTGAAATAATTCAATTCTAATGAAAATTGTTAGTGATTATTTTCCTTCGGATCAACAACTCATTGTCCCTGTAAAAAAATAACATGATAGGATCTTTTTTATAAGACAGAGCCCACTGAGAGTCAGTGAGCTTTAATATATTACATTATTTCCGGCTTAACGTCAAAATAATGTATTTTGGTAATCAAAGGAAAAGCTAGACTCCGTAATTTCCTATATTTTCCTCTGGTGTCTTTGCTGAAGCCCTCCGAAGGACACAGTCGTTCTGCAGTGTCTCTGTGTTACAAGATCAATGCATTTTGGCATAAGGAGGACACACGTAGAGAACATCCCGTACACCAAGCTTTAAACTCACATGAAGCTGCTCATCATCTGTTTGGTGTCCTCTGAACTTCTGGAGTTTGCAAAGCTGATGAACGAGCAGTACACCGCGATCCAGGCACACCACTTCAGCTGAAACACACACACACACACACACACACACACACACACACACACACACACACACACACACACACACACACACACACACACACACACACACACACACACACACACACACACACACACACACACACACACACACACACACACACACACACACACACACACACACACACACACACACACACACACACACACACACACACACACACACACACACACACACACACACACACACACACACACACACACACACACACACACACACACACACACACGTTAAAAGGTTGAGATATACATAGATATCTTGCTACATGATTAAGGTGAGATTATTGTCACCCATGGAGAGATGTATGTTATATGCACAGTAACTATTCTGCACACATTTGAGTACGTATATGCGGGTGTATGGTGTATGTATGTTATGTCTGAATGTTTACAAAAATGACAATAAAAAGAGTATTACTAAAATAAAAGATTAGTCAGTTCAAAAATAAACCGTATATCTGTTTAACGTGACATCAGATGCTAGTTAGAAGAAAAGGAACAGAAAGACAGACTGTATTAACAAATGATGAATACATGTAAAAGGGAGTTGGTAAAGATGATCCAAGACATACTGAATTAATGAGTAGACGACCTTCAATTCAAAGCGGTGTCATTTGAAAACATGCATGTACCCTGGCCGGTATACGGAAGCGCATAACGTGGTGTGCCATCCATACACAATTCCCCAAAAGGTTAAAAGCACTCAAGCAAAAGCTGTTGTTAAATGCAAAGGGCTGCTCTGATAGCCTTTCTTAGTGTCTGATATCCATAGAGATTAATTTAGGGGTCTTTTTATTCAACGCCTAGTAAAACATCCACTTTTTGTGGAAAACCCCACAGACAGCTGTTTCTTTGTCAAGCTTTACCTAAAAAACGTCTCAGATATTTACAGAGGTTAAGGATTTATGCAGCGGTGGAAGAAGTATTCAGATGCTTAACTTGATAGTCTGTTAACCAGCTCATAGAGTCCTATTGTGAACCAGGAAAGGTTGAGTACCCCAACGTTTTATCTTAACAATGTATAGTAGGCTCCCCAGCACATAGAAACTGCCGGATGCTAACTAGCATACGTTGCATTCATAAGCAGCATATACAGAAAATAGTGAAGAAATTGCTTGGACGATTTGGACAATATTGGATTGGTTTTGGAGGTTATTGAGGATGTCGAACTCATTTCTGACATTTTCAGGATAAAAAATGGCAGTTTTAACCAGACAGCGGCCATAATTGTAGTCTCGTTGGTTGATTTTGGTTCGATTTTAAAGTTTTAGGGGACTTAAAACTGCCATTTTTTATCCTACAAATGTCAGATATGGATTTAACATCTGTAATAACATCCAAAACCACCCCAAAAGTGTCCAAACCATTTTTGAGCCAGTGGTTTCACTTACAATAATGTTACTAAAGTTCATTACTTGAGTCAATGTACTTAGTTATTTCCCACCTCTGGATTTATGCTATTTGGTTATTGGACAGGCAATCAATTAAACAAATGACCCCTATTGGAGTGGGAGGCCACAGGGGCCGTCTCCTCTTTGTTTCCTTCATTGTGTCCTCAGGGCTGAAAGTCAAAAGACGCCCTTCATCTGGAAAGGTGAGTTTACCTTTCATTTTCCAAATGGAGCGATTCTCACACACACACACACACACACACACACACACACACACACACACACACACACACACACACACACACACACACACACACACACACACACACACACACACACACACACACACACACACACACACACACACACACACACACACACACACACACACACACACACACACACACACACACACACACACACACACACACACACACACACACACACACACACACACACACACACACACACACACACACACACACACACACACACACACACACACACACACACACACACACACACACACACACACGCTCTTTATGTTAAATTGAAACCAACTCATCAACCCCAGTACTGATCATTAAACTGATTCTAATTGTGCTTTTTTTTAAATAGGAACTCATTAATTCAACCTTTATTCATAATCCATAGATCATTGAGAGGCTACCTTCATTGATACAAACATTGAGTCAATTACAAATAAAAGCAAAAACAACAACAACGAAGAGATATACAAACCGTGAAGAGACAATCCCATTACAAGAACAGTAAAAGCCATAACAACGTTGGATTAGGGAAAGTCATTTGACAGATGCGTGTGTGTGTGTGTGTGTGTGTGTGTGTGTGTGTGTGTGTGTGTGTGTGTGTGTGTGTGTGTGTGTGTGTGGTGTGAACCCCCGGGAGTCCCTGCAGTATAACAGCGAGGTTGTTTCTGTCTCTGTCCTTAAATGAGGTTAGCCTGTATCAAACCTCTGCGATATTTGATCCCCTGTGTGTGTGTGTGTGTGCGTGTGCGTGTGCATGTGCGTGTGCATGTGCGTGTGTGTGTGTGTGTGTGCGTGTGCGTGTGCGTGTGCGTGTGCATGTGCGTGTGTGTGTGTGTGCGTGTGTGTGTGTGTCACCTTGAGCATCAGTCCACACATGCTGAAGATCATGCCGAGCAGGTTCATGTAGTCGGGAGTGGGGTCCTCCAGAGTGGGATTGGACTCTGTGCTGGGAGCCTTGTACCTGCGTATATATAGACATTCAAAACTGAATTTAACAAGCATTTCATTATTCATGCACTGTTACCACACGGATCATATGTTACTTTTACAATTAAGAGCTGCAGCGAGTAGTCGACGTATCAATAAGTCAATCAGCAGAAGAATAATCGCCAACAAAACATTTTTAATCGTCAAAGAAATGAACAGAATTCTTTTTTTCCTCATATTGAACTGAATAATTTGGAAAAGCAAGACACTCAAAGACATTTCCGACTTTGAGGGATGGACATTTACTAAACAATTACATCTAGAAATGATTTGACGGATGATAACTGTCAATTAAAGCCCTATTTCTCAAACAATGTATACATTTCCAAATCAATGGCATTGCTATCCTGCTACAACATCATCCATTGTTCTGGCAAGACCACCACATATGTTATAACCTGGCTGCAAGCATGTACTGTCCTTCAGTTTAAAGAGAGTTAGGATAAGATATTAGGATCAGAATTTATTACATTACATGTTAGACGCTTTTATCCAAAGCGACTTACATACATTCAGTACTGTGGACAATCCCCACAGGAGCAACTGAAGTGTCTCAGGGACACAACGACATGCTGACAGTGGCTCGAACTTGCTATCCCCTGATTCGAAGTCCAGCACACTATCCACTGAGCCACAGCCTCCCCCCTTTATTTATTTGTCGTCACATTCAGGGTAGATAAGTAATCTCAATCTTTAGTTATTTATATAGCACATCTAAAACAACCTCAGTGCTGCACTGTACTCGATACTAGTCGAACATGAACAGACACACACAGCATCACAATGAAGTGTGCGTGAGTGTGTGTGTGTGTGTGTGTGTGTGTGTGTGTGTGTGTGTGTGTGTGTGTGTGTGTGTGTGTGTGTACTTCTTAAGTACCTGTTCTGGTGGCTTTACAATATAAAATAACACAATGGGAGTAAAATAATAAAACAATAATTAAAAACAAGATAAAAAAGCACAATACCTAGAAACCTAAAAACACATTAAAATGTCAAAATGTTATGTTCAACTATTATTAAAAGCCAGTACAAAGAGGTGAGTTTTTAGCTGAGATTCAAAAGTAAGGAGCAGGAGTGTTTATCTAATAAAACAAGTGTAACACGTAGAAAGAAGTGTGGTAGATAACAGTAGTACTACCATCAATTGCACAGATTTACGTACAGATGCTATGCCCGTATGCTTCAATATCAGTGTTCATTCTGTAAAGAAAGATCTCCGCTTAATGAAATTAGATGCAGTAGAGAATCTGTCTATCGCCCTAAAACAGCGAGAGGCCTTCAGCAAACTGTTGACATAACACTGGAAGCACACTATTGATAAAGATCTCCATTCACTGAAAACTAAGAGACTAATAAACCAAACTGTGAGAATGTTTAGCAGCAGGTTAACTACTGTTGTCTGTATATATGTCAATAGACAGTGGTTTGTTGTATTATCCTTCCACTAAAATGCTATTTGGCACCAAAAAAAAGAAGCCCAAAAGAGTGAATTACTAACTAACCATAATGAGCTAAGTGTTGTGGAGCTGCAGAGGTATATATATATTATTTTTGGCACATATCCTTTCAAGAATAGTATGTTTAAATGCATATTTCAATGATAATAAGAATCCCTTCAATATATCAGTCAAACATAATTGGCTTTTCTTGCAAATAAAGTAGCTTAAGTATATATTTCTAAACAACCCAAATACAAAATTATGAGCTATTAAGTGATATATTAAATCACTAACAGCTGTCTTGATATTAAGCCATTATCATATTGTTGTAGCTTAATGTATGGGTAGTTGGTAGTGTGTAAATGCCACCTCTATATCAGCTAATTGCTAATCCCTTTTAACTCATGACTGTGTTAAAGGTAAGCTAGTTAGCTGTTAGCTTACCGTTGAACAAGCCATCAAATCCATCAAAAAACGGATTGTTTCGGTTGTAAAAACTCACCTTAAAATCTTGGCTGGTCTCCTCAGGTCTGACATGTTGTTGGAAGACATGATGAATCACAATAAGATGTTTTTTTACGAGGAAATGTAAACTCCAGTTAGCGACTGACAGCTGATCGGCTTCACTACGAGGAGTAAAGGGGGGGACGTCACTTCCGGGGGTTTTCATCTTCTTCTTCGTTTCTCGGTTTTTGGCGGATTGCAAACAACTTTAAGGTGCATACCGCCACCTACTGTACAAGAGCGTGTATCACCATATCATCCTACCAGCACTTGTGGAATTATACCACTGTGTTTACGTTGTTTTAAATTCTTCCAATCAATCTGGTTTCACTCAAATACTTAAGAATGGCCTTCCTGGTAGCTCTTACCCCCTCACCTTCTGTTCCCAGTGTCCCCATCAGGCTCCACTCCCTTCCTGCCTCTCTGACCCTGTCTCTTAGTTTCCCCTCTCTGTTTTGCAGTGTAATACGATGTGTTCCACATTTTCTTTCACTCGCATTCTTCAACTTCGCTTTTTCCCATTATAAACATCGTGCCGTTTAATCCTGTATGATCCAGTCTGAGTCTAGTGATGGTGATCTCCTCCCGTCGGTTCCTTTCTGTATAGACCTTTGTTATGACTGATTTCTGGAACTTGTGGTATCTCCTCCCTTTCTGATATTCCTCCCACCTTTTCTGTCATATTTCCATACCCTTCTTCTTAATTATTGCTTTTCCTTCTCCTTTCCCAACTGAAACTGTTATTGCTATTTCCTTCTGTAACGCCTCTTTTGCTAACTTATCAGCATGCTCATTCCCTTTAACCCCCTCATGTGCAGGCACCCAGCATAACTGCACATCTATCCCCCTCCTCTGAAGTCTCAGGAAGCAGTGGTTAAGTTCAATGATTACTCTGTACGGATGTGACTTGATCATCCTTTCTGAACAACATCCCATAATTGGTCTGTGGCTGAGAGGAAGAGCGGCAGGGGCGGACTGGCCATCGGGACGAATCCCAATGGGCCGGTACTGAAGTGGGCCGGTCGGACGATGTGGGCCGGTCGGTAACCCCCCCGTTGATAAGTTACCGAGGTGGGCCGGCGGTACCGAAGTGGGCCGGTCGAGAGTCCCGGGCTGATTGTGCTGATCTGATTTGTGTGAAATGTGATGTTTTTAGGCTCTCTCTTTAAACAGACTTCATTGTCTCTGTCAGCAGGATAGTTATTAACCAAGACACTGATGAGGATTTTTTTAAGTTATTTATTACGTGGAATTTAAAAAAACAATTTGACGAGACTTTTGTCATATCAACAAATCTGCATAACAAATAAGCATGTACACATAGTTGAAGCAGTAATATAGAGCACCTGACCATCGGCTGGTCTTGACAACAAATCATGTTATTCACTTCACATTCTTCTAAACCTACAAGCTGCTGCTACTGAAAACTGACTATACAAACTTTAAGAGTTGAACGTGAATATATCCACTTTGCACACATCCTGCACAGCCTCGCTCTCCACAGGGACATTTCAACGTCCTTCTTCTTTGTTTCCATCAGGTGAGCGTCTGAAGAAAATCACAGAAACTTTGTGTAAAGTTACAGCTGGAACTGTGACTCTAAATGTGGAGTGGGCCTGTTTGATCTGATGCAGGAGGCTCTAACCTGACTGGACTTCACACCATGTCTTCCTGCTCCTCTGTGTCTTCTGTCTGTGCTGCAGTGTGTGAGTCGTTCTCATACTCAGGAACAGAGTCCAACTGATGAAGAGAGAGAAGACACAATTAGACCCTCATTCATGAAACCTGCATATACTTTAAGATTTTATAAAACATTTTTCATATTTTAAAGTTGATGCTAATTATTTCTTGGCTAAATTCATTTCTGGTTTCAACTCAGGAAGTTGTCTTTAATCACAAGTTCTCTTCACATTGCATTTATGAGCCACAGTATAGCTTTGACGAAGGGGAAATGTCAATAGGTCCGCTCTCTCTCACCGCTATCTCTTCAGGTTCATGTGCTTCAGTGGTGGAGCGCAGAGCTTTCTTCTTCCTGGATTAAGGACAACAACAAATACAGATTTTATTTCATAACAGTAAACTAAAACATGTAAGAAGGATGTTTAAACTGATGAATTTCTATTGTTGTACCTCATCCACAGACTCAGGAGAAACACAGGAATCAGCATCAAGGCCCCCAGAGTCGTCCTGATGATATTCACTATCATTGTTGAACTCCCTAGAAACATGAATACATATGTGATACTTCTAACTGCTGGATTGATAAATCACATTGTCAGTGTGATCCACCTCTGACACCATGGAGGTTCCTCCCTGAACACTGACATTTTGAATATGCTCGGGTTGCTTCATATTACAAAGTGAATCAGTTCTGGTGAATGTAGAGAACTTACCTGTTCCAACACTCAGATGAAAGGTGGAGTTACTACGTCCTAACTTGTTCTGGGCTCCACAGGAATAACTCCCACTGTGTTCAGCTCTGAAGTCAGTGATGGTGAAGATCTGTCCTGAAGCTTTTGGAGAGTCTTCATCCTCCTTGTACCAGGTGTAGTTAGCTGCTGGGTTAGCATCACTGCTACAGGTCAGAGTCACTGAACTGCCCTCCTCTATCTCAGCAGAGGGACTCACTGACACAGAGGGAGGCTTTGGAGGATCTGGAGGAGAAATGTGAACAGTACATATTCAGAATGTGTTTCTCACTGCATTAGCTCAAAGGGTATCTACATTATTGAACGCTGAATAACTGCATTTCGAGTCATTACAGAGCATTGAATGAGGAACTCATTCCAAAATAACCCTAACTTGAAGGACAGTTGTTGAGTATTTACTAATCACATTTTGTAGAGTACACTGAAAACACTAAAACATTGACTTTAATTAAATGTATTATGTCAATAAATAAAAAAATGTTGCATTAGGTGAGTTGAAAGCAATAATATGAATTTGAACCTAATATTTTTCATTCAAAATGTATATTATTGCTTTCAACCAACCTGATACAATTATGTGTCATTTGTCATGGTTTAAACCTGAACATCTTCATCTTGCTAGCAGACTAACTCTAACCCTGCATGGAGACTGTGATGTTAATCACTGTGCACTAAGTATTCTTGGAGATTAGAATAATACACGTCATATTGAGCTGTACATCTCTCTGTATGATAAACTGTTTTTTTTATTTGTAATACTGTTTTTTCACCTCCTTAATGTTTATTCTAAAGTGGGCCCACATCATGATTAAATTATGTTGCAGCTGCCGACTGAGGTTTTTAGTGAGAATCCAGTTTTTTCATCTTGCTCCTGTAACTTGGAATAACATGAAGAGCAATATAAAGCTAACCTTATTTATGATAGATATTTTGTGATGTTTCTTGCTGCCTACCGGATTTTCTGTTATTGTTGATATTTTGTATTTTTACCTCTGATATGTTGTAAATGATGTCTCTACCAAAATCTATTTAATATGTATGTTGTTTACCTAGAAAGCTTTTTGTTTCTATAAATAATACTGCTGCTCTGCATTAAGAATCAGAAGACTATTGTAAGGTTTCTAGCTGAAATTGTCAATGTATTGAAATGTCAGTGTTTGTGTATGAGTGAACTCACACACTATAGGAGAAGAGAAGTCTTCATGACCTTCCAGAGCACAAGACATAGTGTCTGTGAGTTGAATCCAGCCTTTATAGGAAGATATTGATGTTGTCGTGAATTTCTCTCCGTTCTTGAACCAGACGTAGGAAACACCAGCTGGACTGCAGCTGGTGTGACACTTCAGCTCTGCATAGGTGTAAGGCTGCTGGTCAGTTGCTCTGATCACCTGCACCTGCAGAGCTGGATATGAGAAAAATAAACAATATTATATCACTCGGTCTGAAATGAAACTGATGATAAATGTACATACCCATTAACACAACATTCTAAAGTAGGTGAACAAATATGATAACTCATCCAACAGTAATTACAAAAACTCAACTTCCAGTATGTTTTCATTGTAATGTGTTGGTGTATACAGAATACATCAGTTTGTGTTGATCAGTACCTGTGACAGTCAGAGTTGTTCCAGGTAAATCACTCCTCCATTCAAAGCTTGGCGTTTTGAATTTGAAGAGATACTGAGCTGAATCTGAGTCTCTCAGGTCAGAGATCCTCAGAGTGGAGCGTCCTCTCTCTGTTTCAAGGATCTGAACACGACCTGCATACTGGGGGTCTTCACTAAGGTCCTCAGGCTGAGAGGGATTCTGTCCCTGATGACTACGCTCAGGACTGAACCAGAATTTAGATTTAATACAGTCATTACTGCTGTACGTGCAGGAAATGTCCACTGATGATCCTTTGAGGGCGCAGATACTTCCTTCAGTGTAAGTCAGTGTGTTGCTGTCTCGACCAGTGACACCTGAAACATAAAAATAAATGGTAAACCATATTTTTACCAGAGTTGATGAGAAGTCACAAACCCATACAGTTAGCTATGGCTTCCACTAGATGGTGTTATGTTAGAATAAGGTAGTGAAGTGAACTCACACACTGAAGGGGAGAGAGAGTCCTCATATCCTTTCAAAGCACAGGAATAGCTGTCTGGATAATTAAAGTCGACCTGAAGAGAAGATGTTCCTGACAGAGCGTTTCCTCCGTTCTTGTACCAGACGTAATCATTATCAGGTAAATCACAACTGCTCTGACACTTCAGGTTTGCTCTGCTATAATATTTGCGTTCCACCTGCACCGAGAGATCTGTATTTGTGAAGAAGGAACAGGAATGTTATTTAAGAATAAACTCTCAACATTCATGTATATAAAAACACATCACAATTATATTATTGTTTTCTTAATGTTGAACATTTGGAACTGATTGGTGTTACCTGTGAGAGACAAAGTGACTCCAGGTTCACCCCTATATCTTCCTCCTGCTCGGTTTGTTTCAAACCTGAACCTGTAGTCAGCTGAGTCGCTCTCTCTCAGGTTTCTGATTCTCAGAGTGCAGATGTTGTTTTCACAGAGATCCTCTACACGACCTGCATACTCTGAGACTGTGGTCAGATCTACAGATTCACCACCTTTCCATTTAGTGAACCAGAGTGTTTTCTCTACTGTGTTAACACTGCCTTTCCATGTAGATGGGTATGTGAAGCTGCATCTTATCTCCACTGTTGATCCTTTCACTGCACAGATCTCAGTGGAAGAGTGAGTCACTCCCCAGTCATCCTGACCCTGAACCACTGAAACACAGAGCACATCAGAAACTAGAATCAAAGTTAATCTATAAATTGTTAAACAATACTGTCAACAAACAATTTGAAAATAAACATTTTACAAATTTACTGGGATAGAGCAGAAAAACACGTGAATTCTTTCTAAGGAACTTTTAAACTGGTACCAATGATACTTTGTTATTTCTTAATCAAACCAGGTAGAATAGAAGTCTACACAAAATGGGTATGTTCAGTTTGACACAAGATTGGAAAATGCCTTCATATAAATAAACAGTGAATGATTAGCGATCATATTAATTAGAATAGTGTGTGATTCTCTGAACAGTTCCCTCTCTGTTCGCTCTGTGGTCAGGTTGCTGCTGAGGTAAGTGTGAACAATAACAATGAATGCAGAACACTGAGGTGTGAGCAGCTTCTGTCTGATATACAGATAAGAAAAAGAAGAAGACTGCTTTAAACTCAGAGTGGGAATATAACACTGAGGTCAGAGAGGAGAGAAGGAACTAGAAGGGTTTGGTGCAGAGGTATGATGCATAAGAGTTGAGTCAATATGTTATGACTTAGAATAATAATATCTCTCTAAATCACTTAAACTTAGTAAAAACGGAGCTGGAGATTCTTTAAGTCGTCTTTAGAAAAAAACAAAGCAAAATGTTTTCACAGAGAGAGGATGGAACAGTTATGCATACACTATATTCTCATTTTAACGCTTGTAAAAGTGATAAGCAAACTGATATTGTATGCAGATGATTGGAGCAAAGGACAGTGGCAACGCACGACAAGATCTTCAGAAAATCCATCAAAAAAACTAGTAACGTCTTTGAGTTTCTACAATTCTACACAATTACATTTAAAATGTTTCTGCTAGGTTTGCCTTTTACACAAATCCATCCCACTTATTCCCACATGTGACCTGATTTTACAAGTCCCACATTTTCCCAGAATCCCCTCTGTTCATGTGATGAATGTAAGTGTAGATGTACAGTACCTGACACAGAGAGCAGGAAGACAACTAATCCACTCGCTGCTGCAGTTAAACTCATAGCTGCTCCTCTCATCTCTGTGAGACTATAAAACATGTCAGATTAAATAATGTTCACAGGAGGTATACAGAATCATTACATCAATAAACTGTTTCTACTCACAGTGAAGGAGGAACCATGTGTTCAAAGATGCCTTTCCTCTGTCACCAATGAGCAGAAGACGGATATCAGACTGTTAAGAGAATTACTTCCTCTTTAGACGATTAATATACATGATGAGCCAAACCCTGTAACACCCACTGCACAATAAAGTTGTATTGTTTTTAAAAAGTATACACGTTAACAGAGACTACGGTTATGCATTAACCTGTGAACCCACGAGGCAGTTTAACTGAACAGGATGAAGAGAACCAAATTAATTATAAGAGAGGATGGAAAATGCCATGTCATTGTTCTTGGTTTGTTTCTTCTCTCTTATCTCTGTGGTCAGGTTGCTTAATTTTTTTTTGAGAAATGCAGAACTTCGAGACGTGGGAAACTTACATGCCTGCCAACATGAACCACTCACACATGGACTGGTAGGACAGACAATGTTTGATGTTTGATAGATGTTGATTAGAAAACAATGCTTTAAATTACTTTGACTTGTTTAAGTGGATCAGTTAGAAAAGCAGTGTGCAGAGAGGTCTTACTTTAAGTTAACCGCACTGCATTGAACAGACTTCATATGAACCATCAGCATGGCTAGATGCCACTGGAGGTCAGATAGGAAATACATATTTTTATAGTTTTGGTGAAATGCCCCCAAAGAGACTTCCACTAGAAAGTGGAGGGAGCTCTCAGAGTGATGAAGCCTGAATGTGCAACAGTTAAGATCCCCCACTAGAGGACAGAGAAACATCACAGATACTGAACAGGACCCTGAAACACATTTTAACATCCAACACTGATAGATACTTTAACATTTGATAACTAAACCATTTTCCTGAAAAAGCAATAGAAAGGATTTAAAATGATAAGGGTAAAACAGTTGATCTCTATGAGCACTGAGGACGTCACACAGTCTGCAGGTGTAGTGAAGGAACAGGAATGCATTAACCTGTGAAACCACGAGGCAGTTTAACTGAACAGGATGAAGAGAACCAAATTAATTATAAGAGAGAATGGAAAATGCCATATCATTTCTCTTGGTTTGTTTCTTCTCTGCTCTCTCTGCGGTCAGGTTGCTTCTGTTTCAGAGAAATGCAGAACTCTGAGACGTGAGAAACTCACATGCCTGTTAGTGTGAACCCAACATGAACACACACATCACACTCATAATCAAGTGGACTGGTAGGATTTGGACACACAGAGTTTAATGATGTGAAAAACACATGTTCAATGACTTTGGATGTTTAGGTGGATCAGTTGAATTAACTGTAAACATATGTCCAATGTTTACATTTATTAAAACACTTTAACATTTGAAAAACAACCTCACAGCATGCAGCAAACTTTATTATGAATGATTTGCATGTTTAGGAGGTAAGAGAGGACATCAGTACTTTAGTAGTTTGGGTGAACTGACCCTTTAAAGCAGACAGTGGAGGGAGCTCTCTGAGTGATGAAGCCTGAATGTGTCTCACTTAAGACCCCCCAGTAGAGGACAGTGAAACATCAGAAACTGAATCAGGACCCGGAGACAATGTACAGTTTAATATTTAACACTGATTGTTTTGGCACATTTAAATTTACTTTTTCGTCATTATCTGAATGTAGCAGGATAAACTGTTCAGCCCTATCAACACGGGGCAACCTTTCTAAAGAGGGGTCAGTGTCGCTCTTGTTCCCTCTTGCTCTTTGGCACGAAGGCCACTTCCGGGTTCCGTTTACGTGCTTTCTCCGCTGGCACCGGTGAGTTTGCACTGGCTGCCGTTTGTAGAAAGACGGCTGTTTTGCCTCAACGTCTGTGCTTCACCGCTACACTGCTGCCTGGCGGGTGTTGCTCTTGGCCTGCATCGTCTGTATTGCCTCTTTGTGTCACTGTGCATTACACTACATGACCACATTTTAAACATTGTTATAGTGGACTGTTCGATGAATTTCTTTTTATGATTAGTTATTGCATTGACCCTGTTGAGTTAAGCTTGTTTTGTTTATTTACTTCAATATTAAGTAGATTGTTGGGTTAATTTCCGTTTCTTTAGTTTAGTTGTTTTCGACCCTGTTCTAAACTTGTTTTGTTTATTTCTGTCGATATTAGTTATATCTCTTAGTATTATTGATTTCTTATTGTCTTTATACTGATCTTATGTGTTGGTTTGTGTATTAATTCGTTTTGACTGTTTCCCCCAGTAATGTGTTTTGTTGGCCCCTCTTTAGTTGCTGAGAGCCAAAGGTGTGTTGGCTCCCCCTGGTGTTGGTGTTCCTTCGTGTGTGTGAGTGTTTAGTGATCACGGGTGCCCTCATTTACTTTGTGGGGATCCCTCTCACCCCTCGTCACCTCCATCCACTGGTAAGCCTCAGCATCCCTTAATTAAGATGTCCCCCTTTATTTCCAGTGTGTATGATGATCTTAATGTGTTTTTTAATGATATTTAATACTTGAAATGAAACATGTGATGAATTGGAACCACCTCTCCTGCCCCTCAGTATTACGAACCTGATGCCTTATTGGTACTTTGAATAATTATTTCCTTGGGTGCAATTCCCAAGGTGGCGTTGTCTGGCTTTTGGTTAAATGTAGATCTTAAATAGGAGTTCAAACAAACACTACCACGTGCCGCCACATTAACATTTTATGAGTTTAACCATTTCTACTCAGGTGTGTTTCTGCCAAATCAGAATATGAGCAAGAATACCTGGAATAAGACAAATGAATGCACGAGAGGATAAAGGGAGGCAGGAATGGATGGTGTAGTAGTGAGTTTCCATATAGAAGTGCTCTGTATTATGATCTGTAAACCTTATTGTTGGCTGCGCCTGACAACACATGAAGTCAAGTTACAGAACACTGTCCATAATAATAATAATAGCTTGCATTTATATAGCGCCTTTCAAGGGACCCAAGGTCGCTTTACAAGTAATAGGGCAAAAACAAACATAACAAAACAAAAGTCAGACAGACCAAACAACAGATCGATTAGGGGCCGAAAGCCTTGGCAAACAGATGGGTCTTGAGGGCCCATTTGAAGGCGTCGAGTGTGGGGATGTTGCGAATCTCTGCAGGGAGAGCGTTCCAGAGGGTGGGGGCTGCCACACTGTAGGCTCTGTCCCCGAAGGTTCGCAGTTTGGTGCGGGGGGTGGTGAGCAGGCCAGAGTCTGAGGACCGCAGGTTCCGGGGTGGGGCATGTGGGTGAAGGATGTCCGATAGGTACTGGGGGGCAAGGGCATGGAGGGACTTGTAGGTGAGGAGGAGTACTTTGTAGGATATACGGAACTTGACCGGCAACCAGTGTAGGTGGATGAGGGTGGGAGTGATGTGCTGCCACGGCTTTGTGTGCGTGAGTACCCTAGCAGCACAGTTTTGGACATACTGGAGCCTGTCCGTTTTTTTTTTGGGAACCCCGAACAGGACACCATTGCAGTAGTCCAAGCGGGTGGTGACAAATGCATGTATTAGGGTTTCAGCAACCGACTCCGAGAGTGACGGTCGGAGTCTGGCAATGTTCCATATTTAGAAGATGCAGAAGAGGATCATACCTTTGACACTTGAAAAAGCCAGTTCAGTCTTTGCTCCTGGGTCTGGTCGTCTGCTGACTAACCACCTGCCAATCTCACTTCTTTCTGTTGTCTCTCTGTATTTTCTCCAAATGAATTTCCGTGCATCTTGTTTGGTCACTAATATATGCCTGTGTATGTTTGCTGTATAAATGAATGGAATATTTATGTAAAGTGTGGCTTCATTGACAAAATAACAAAGAAGTTGATTGATGTCCACAAGAAAACCCTCTACATTAAAAGAAAGGGAGTTCAGGAGACCAGTTTGTGGTGAACAGACCACCTCTCCTCACTGACAAGAGAACACACATCCTAATGGCGGGGCCTCGCATATGACGCACACCTGTTAGCCTGTTCCACCATTCTTCGTTTTCCGAGGCTAGGAAGGATTCTTGCTTCTGAAGCAAGGGACTCGGAAGACGTGTCCTACCAAGCAAGCGTCCTCGACATTGAGAAACACCCACACACTCACACACTTCACTCACACACTTCACTAACTCACACACTTCACTCACTCACACACTTCACTCACTCACACACTTCACTCACTCACACACTTCACTCACTCACACACTTCACTCACACACTTCACTCACTCACACACTTCACTCACTCACACACTTCACTCACTCACACACTTCACTCACTCACACACTTCACTCACACACTTCTCTCACTCACACACTTCTCTCACTCACACACTTTACTCACTCACACACTTCACTCACTCACACACACACACTACTCACTCACTCGCACACACACACTACTCACTCACTCGCACACACACTTCTCTCACTCACACACTTCACTCACTCACACCACTCACACACTTCTCTCACTCACACACTTCACTCACTCACACACACACACACTTCACTCACGTCTCTCACTCACACACACACACTTCACTCACGTGTCACACACACACACACACACACACACACACACACACACACACACACACACACACACCACACACCGACACACACACACACACACACACACCACACACACACCACACACACCACACACACACCCACACACACACACACACACACACACACACACACACACACCACGGCGCGCACGCACGCACACACGGCGCGCAACACGGCACGGACGCACACACGGCACGCACGCACCACACCGCTCGCACGCACACACGGCACGCACGCACACACGGCGCGCACGCACACACGGCACGCACACACGGCAGCACACACGGCACGCACACACGGAACGCACACACGGCAGAACGCACACACGGCACGAACACACGCGCACGCACACACTGCACGCACTCACAACGGCACGCACGCACACACACACACACGGCACGCACGCACGGCGCTCACGCACACACGGCGCTCACGCACACACGGCGCTGCATCACACACTGCACACGCACACACGGCACTACGCACCTCGCTCACCTCACACACCTCACTCACACAGGCACGCACACACACACGCACGCACGCAGTCGTCTCACACACACACACACACACACACACGGCACGAACACCACGCGCACGCACTCACACAGGCGCGCACGCACGCACCACGGCGCGCAGCAGCACACACGGCAGACACACGGCACTCACTCACACACGCTCTCATCACACACTTCACGCACGCACACACGGCGCGCACGCACCACAACGCACTCACACATCACTCACTCACACACTCTCTCACACACACTTCACTCACTCACACACACACACTCACTCACGTCTCTCACTCACACACTTCTCTCACTCACACACTTCTCTCACTCACACACTTCACTCACTCACACACACACTTCACTCACTCACGTCTCTCACACACACACACACACACACACACTTCACTCACACACTTCTCTCACTCACTCACACACTTCTCTCACTCACTCACACACTTCTCTCACTCACTCACACACTTCACTCACACACTTCACTCACACACCTCTCTCACTCACACACGTCTCTCACTCACACACTTCACTCACACACTTCACTCACACACTTCACTAACTCACACACTTCACTCACTCACACACTTCTCTCACTCACACACACACACACACACACACACACACACACACGCGCACACACACACTTCACTCACTCACACACTTCTCTCACTCACACACTTCTCTCACTCACACACTTCACTCACACACTTCACTAAGGCCCATCCCAAACCACTCGCTCGACCCTACCCCTCCGTGGCGGAGTGAACTCCGTCTGTAGCCACACTCGCAGCTCAACGAGGCTCCCTCCTGTCAGATGGAGGGAGTAAATACAGCGGCAAGCTTTGGGACAAACTCCCCTCTCTCCGGCAGAAACAGGAAATGCCGTAACTGTAACAACGGTTTCAAATCAGCATCTCTCAGACAAAAAATGTAAATTAAGAACTCAAATAAAACTCCAAACGTCTTTCATTGTGTTACTTTTTTGTAAAGCTCTTTTAGTTTTAAACCTGATGTTTATAAGCTTCTTAGTTTTTGCAACAGTCTGTAAATATACACAACTTTATAATAAAATGCACACATTTACCTTTTTCTAGACTAAACACAGGTATGATCCTAAGTTAAAAAAAATATGAGGTTATCATGAGGTTGTTAACATCGCAATTTATCAGTGGATGTTTGCTGGAACTGTTTGTAAACAGCGTGTTTCCTGACGGACACACACAGCGTGACTCCGGTCAGGTAGAGACCAGTCTCAAGTCAGCACCGATGCAGACTCGCTGTTTGAGGGTTTGATAGCCCACTCCCCCTCCACACCTCTCCACACTCGTTGGTTTGGAACAGCACTTAATGTGGCGGACCCTCCGCGCGAACGCGCAAACGGAGGGGTAGTGTGTAGGGGTAGGGTGTAGGGGGCGGTTTGGGATTGGGCCTTACTCACACACTTCTCTCACTCACACACTTCTCTCACTCACACACACACTTCACTCACACACACACACGTCTCTCACTCACACACTTCTCTCACACACACTTCTCTCACTCACTCACACACTTCACTCACACACGTCTCTCACTCACACACTTCACTCACACACACACTTCACTCACTCACACTCACACATACTACTCACTCACTCGCACACACACACTTCACTCACTCACGCACACACACTTCTCTCACTCGCTCACAAACACTTCTCTCACTCGCTCACACACACTTCTCACACACACACACACACACACACACACTCACACACGTCTCTCACTCACACACGTCTCTCACTCACTCACACACGTCTCTCACTCACACACTTCTCTCACTCACACACTTCACTCACACACTTCTCTCACTCACTCACACACTTCTCTCACTCACTCACACACTTCACTCACACACCTCTCTCACTCACACACTTCACTCACACACGTCTCTCACTCACACACTTCTCACTCACACACTTCACTCACACACTTCTCTCACTCACACACTTCACTCACACACACACACTTCACTCACACACTTCTCTCACTCAGTGTGACAGCCTTCACTCACACACACTTCTCTCACTCACACACTTCTCTCACTCACACACTTCACTCACACACTTCTCTCACACACACACTTCACTCACACACACACACTTCACTCACACACTTCTCTCACTCAGTGTGACAGCCTTCACTGTGTTCTTTATACCTTCTGATGTCTCCTCACAAACTCTGCACTTTCATCTCTGCAGCTTGTTTTGTTTAATATTGTTTCCAGTGTTTTTATTTCAAGTGAACACGTGCAATTATTCTATTTAGAAATGACAGATTAGTGACACTGATGCTATCATTAGCATTAGTGTGGACGAGAGTTATGGACATTTCAACCTTTATTGATGAACTCAAACCAGAACAGAAGGAGAGAAAGGTAAACACATGAAGTACAGAGCAAAAGACTAGGGTCAGAATAACAGGTGTAACAACAAAGCAAAATAGATAAATGCAACAAGTTGTGATGGTTATGAACTTAAAGAGTAACAAAGAAATTAACTATTTTAATTGGTGATAATGGAACTTTTATATTTACATAAAAAGATGTCAGAATAAGAATGTGTGAACATTAAGGCCGTACACACACCAAAGATAAATGTGCTTCACAGGCTCTTGGTAATGGTTTTCCATCAGTGAAATACGGCTCTTTACTGACACCTAGTGGCAGCAGAATGAAACTGCAACTACATCAGCAACACATGTTCCTCTCTGATATCCCAATGTGCTTTTCAAAAACATGTATTTTGGAATGGATAAAAAATAACACAAACAAGTAGTTGTTGATATTTCAGTCTAGACAAGAAGAAGAACATTGTAAAGAAAAATATTATATTAAGAAAGTAGATAAATGTACAAAACAATGGAAATTGTTTCTTATCAGTAAATTCTCTTTAGTAATATCTACATTTTCCAACAAGCCAGCAGTTAGGGATCAGATCTCTTGTTGCAACATCCCTACATTTTGTAATTTCTTTTGGAAAGAATCATGTTACAAAATAAATGTATACAATTGATTACATTAAGTTGTGAAATACTTAACAAATTATTTACATTTGAGCCATTCAGATTAATAAAAACTAGGCTGAAAACTCACTGCCTAATTATTGGAGAGGTCCACCCTGAGACATGTATTTAAAAGATCCATATTACCCTGTGTAAATAGAAATATAAAATATTTCGGTAAAATGAAAAATATTGTTAAAATAAGAACAAGCCCGGGTAGCTGCTCTCCGGATAGAGTCCAGGAGAAACGAGAGAAGGAAAGTAGCCTTCGCTCAGAATCTGTGTTACCTTCAAGGACAAGGGGAAATAGTTAAAGTTAACAAAACACAGGACTAGACTTCAACTGTCACACACACTCCACGAGGTTTTGCTTCAGCTCGAGTCGAGGCATCTGTAAAGACATGGGTCCAGCTCACGGAGAGCATTGATCAGAACCCTGCTGGCTTCAGCTCCTTTATTTCGCACCGTGTCCACCACCTCTCGTGCTCCGTCATTTTGGGGTTTGGTTCTGGCTGACGTCATTTCAGAATCAGTGATAACTCTAGACTCAAAGAGTTTATCCAGAAGGTCCTTCAGGAGAGATGGAGACACTCTTAGAATGAACTCTGTCCGATGTGAGAGCAGCCATTGGTCTGCTGGGTCTCTGCTCTCTGCTGGGTCTCTGCTCTCTGCTGGGACATTTCTCTGGGACAATTCATGCCTTGGACCTGGTAGATAAACAGGGAAAATACTTACCGGGGGCAAAACGCAACATCTTGCAAAAAAACAGCGTCTGAGGGCTTCTTAACATTTAACAACCTATGAATGTGTCATACCCACTTAACGGGAAGAAACTCAGCTATCAGACAATATTAACAATTTTTAGCTAAACAAAACACAAGGGTAATACCAAGCTTCTGAATTAGCCCTGAGCGAAAAATGCTAACTCACATAGCACAGAACTCATAAAATATCCTTATTACTTATTGGATCTGCACAAACAAGACATCAGATTAAAGCTGAGATTCCACAGATTCTAGAAATACAAGTATCATCACTGTGCGATCGCGGCAGGGGAAGCAAACCCAGACAACACACGATGTAGCTTTACGGAGCAAAAATTGGAAATATGTCTTATATGTCTATAACTTTTCTGATCAAAAGTTGTATTCAATGGCATTAAAACAATAAAAACGCTGCTGAAGGTTAATCCAATGTGTCTGTGTCACTTTGAAATTATTACTGATAATCCATCTTCATATTTATGTGAATATCTGAGTTTTCATATATAGCTGCTATGATAGCTACCAGAGTGTTTGACAGCTTCCGGTTTTGGGCATTCCGGCTACGCATCACTCATTCACCAATGGGTAATGTTTAGATGGATTTTAGGAACGTCCCCTCGATTCTATTGGCTCTAACGGTTAAAAAGAGGTGTCAATCATCAATAATGAGCAAGGGAAGCCAGAAATATGGAAAATCCACCCAAATGACCCCAGAAGTGTTTTTTTTTTTGCTAAACCTCTCTAAAAAAGTCAAATGTCACTTGTTTTGCATCAATCTTGATACAGGGTTCTTATTATATGTTATAGTTTGGATAATTTACCCCTTTTAGAAGTGAAGGTATAGTCATTTGTTCTGGGAATGTCATTTTCGAGCCTGAGGCCTGAAAAACAGGCTCAGGGCTTAACTGGATAACCAACAATCACATTAAACAGATCTGTTAAAAATTAAAGTAACTCAGCATTCCCAGGGGTGGATTTCTGTTCACTTGAAGTTATAATATGTAACATTTCCTCATTAAAATGTCTGAAAACTACTACACCTATGTTATTTATGTTTTGTTGAGCTGTTTACCTACATTATCCCAAATGGTTCAGAGATGTATAATTTTAATCAAGGTAACAGTACGTCTCATCACGGTCTCCTGTAATGGGGCCGTATCCACTTAACCATGAGAAGCTGAAGACTACAACTCCCATGATGCCACGCTGTTTCACCACCACACCACACTAGATTTGACTATGGTTTTAGAATATAACGGGTTGTGTGTTTAATGTCGTAATGATGCGCTGCGATGGAGCCTTAATAGAGATTGCTATGAGATGGAGCTTTAAAGTTATCCAGTCTATCACTGGGTCTGAGCTCAGGAGGAGTCTTTACCTTCCAGTGACGCGCGACAATACCAGACTTCATTTCCACCTTGATCCTGGACCTTCAAAACCACTCTCTCAGTGCTCGTCGTCAGGGAAACTTGAAATGTCGGATGGTAGTTTGGTCCAAAGCTGGAATCAAATGTTTTACTCTGAAAACCAGAAGCAGAAGTTAAACGTTTATCTGTTTATTTCCTGATTGTGATATCACATGCAGATAAATGTGTGTTAATGACCATTGTGTTCCTTTAGAGGAGTATCAGTGACTCACCTCAGGCTGTATATAGAAGCCCTCAGGTTCACAGTGCACACTGTAACTGTGATGAATGTCCAGCTCACAGTCGGAGGAGTTTGTGATGTGCACAGCACGTTTGTGTTTGTCAGCAACCTTCAGTAGGAGGGTAACTTTAGTTATTCTCAGATAGTCAAGGCTACTTTATTTAAAGATCACATTAAACAACAACAAACGTGGACAGACCTGCTCCACAGATTGATGAGATATACAATCAATTACAACATAATTATAAGTATATATTGCCTTTGTAAAGGAATATTCAAAATATATTATTTTAATTATTGGATATAAGCTATTGAAGAAGCTATTCCTTTGGCACAGGGCTCACTTCAGTGTCTGTTTGAGACACACCAGGATTTCAGCTAACTTTGTTGTAATTGTCATTACTAGAGGCTGAGGGACGGGCGTTTCTAAAAAAGCTCACGTAAAGAGGCTGACTTTACCTCCTCCACATGGACGTTGTTCTGCAGCAGATGTACATCCAGTATTTGCTCCTCTCCGGACGGTGTACGTAGAAATACCAGAATTTGGCCTTTTATACGCCACTTTAGAAGCCTTTTCAATGTATCGATGATAAGGCCAAAGAGAGAGAGGTGAGGCACCTTCACCACCACGTGAGTGCGTGTGACCTCCAGCGGCTCCAAGATGCTCCGGCCTTCATCAGTGATGTGGACGACAGACAACAGGCCGTCCAGGAGCAACGCTGTGGAGCAAAGAGCTGGTCATCTGTTGCATTGCTGCTAAAACAGCTTCATCATATTCAATGTCACACTGCTTTAGTTCAGAGGTAATGTTGATCTAATGTCATTCACTTTTGAGCCTCACTAGGGTGTACCAGTTTATATCCTTCACCGTTTATTTTAATGTTTAATTATTGATCTGTCCCCCTGTGATCTTTCTGGATGGGTGCATTTACTGTTATGCATAAAAGTTATTCATTATTTTTGTATTTATAAGAACGCTGAAATGTTTGTCAGAAAAGCTTGACTGTGTCAGGTCTCATGTCTGATTGATTCTCTAGATGTGTGAAGAGTTTTCTAAAGCTTTTAGGGCATAACAAAGTTCTGTTGTTTTGTTTTGTACATGGTTCAGCCAGACTGACAATGAAAAGAGCAGAGAGAGCAACATATGGATAACAAATCAAGAATTAATCAAACTGCTAGCTTAGCATCACAACAGTTACAGAGAGTTAGCGTTGAGTTAGCACTGTTAGCAGCTGAGCATGCTGTGGACTGAAAAATCCCAGTTTAAATCTCTTTAAACTCAATTTCTTCTTTTGGGGACAAAACTATTTGAATGTAAATAATACATTTTGTGTCTGAATTATACTAGTTTAATAAAGCTGCTTCATAACCTTTGAATGGTAGTGGATATAAAAAGGTGCCACAGAAACATTATACAAGTGTGTATTTGTTAACACTGCAGATGTCTTACCATCCTCTGTCTCACTGTGTGGCAGGTGGAGCTGGCAGACGGCAGTTTCATCAGAACTCTTCACGTCGAACAGCGGCCCTGCTGCCTTCTTGCCAGCTGATTGGAGGAGGCTCTCCTCCCAAGGGACCGTCCTGTACAGAAGCTCCGCCTCCTGAGCCATGACGAACACCAGGCCAGTCAAAGCACACTGGAACACACCTGGACCAGGACACCTGAACCTAAAGACACACAAGGGACAAGTTACTACACCAAGCGTTCACTGGCTTGTGTTTTGACTGACAGTTGTTCATCCAGCTGGAGTCTGACCTGGAGGGGGGTTTGTTGAAAGATCTGAAACACCTGGTGATTACAGGAACATCATTGAAGATGTGTCCACATGCATCAGTATGTGTGTGTGAACAAACACAATAAAATGAATATAAATGTAATGTGTTTAAAATAGGGCTGTCAAGTTAACGCGTTAATAACGCGTTAACGCAAAAAAAAATTAACGCCACTAATTATTTTAACGTGATTAACGCATGTGTATTTTTTGTCCTCGGCCGCCCCGTAGTTTCAGAGCGCATCGAGTTTAAAATACCATCTACAAGCTGATGCTGACAGCCCCGCTCCTGCCGCCCGCTTGTGGCAGACCACACTTCCACGCTCATCGGCAGGCCCGGACTGGCCATCGGGAGGACCGGGAGGGTGTGTGTATGTGTGGCGCGACTCGCGAGCGAGGCACACCTTACGTGTTGTTGTTGTTGTTGTTGTTAGCACCTGGTGCTAGCTAGCTGCGCTAACGGATATAAGGAGCTGTTTCAATGAAAACAGAGGAGCGACATTTCGCCGACAACTGCGCCGAGCACTTGACTTTATGCAGGTAGCCAGACAGTGGGACATTGTACGAAAAGTCAGCACACTCAGCACGGATAGTGCGCGCAACATGATTTGCAGCGTCCAGGCAGCTCCCGTTCGAGCATATATGCCTTGAGCTGCACATAGCTCCAATGATCCATCACAGTGTCCACACACACACACACACACACACACAACACACACCACACACACCCACACACACACACACACCACACACACACACACACACACACACACACACACACACACACCACACACACACACACACACACACACACACACACACACACACACACACACACACACACACACACACACACACACACACACACACACACACACACACACACACACACACACACACACACACACACACACACACACACACACACACACACACACACACACACTTTGTATTGTATTATATTATTGTATGAGAGAGGTTCCAGGTTGAATTGAGGCAAATATTTGTAATGTTCAGAGGTTGTTGTGTTTAATATTCATGAGAATATTTGTCATTGTTCAAATGATAATAAACAAACATATAAAGCATATTTGTCCACTCATATGTCGATACAGATGGAGCATCTTATTTCAGACTCCAGCTTACTGCTTCCTGCCTACTACCTGCCAGTTACCTGCCTAAGACCTGCCAAAGACCAGTATCTGGGAATGTTAAGCCCTCCCACTATTTTCCAAGAGGGCGTTGCCAGATTTTCAATTTCAGGATTTAACCAGGAGATGGCGCTTCCTTCAAAAAAACAGGAAGAGAACTTTTCATGGACTTTCAGTTTTGTTTAGAAGAGCATTTGAACACATCAATATTTTAGATCAAATAAAGTATATCTAATCTTGTAATTCAATAATATATAGTCTTTATATATTAAATAACTATGGCCAAACTAGGACTTAGTTTTTCACAAGAGAAAATGCAGATATTATATAAAAAACTAAAGTTAAAATCTTGTTTTTAATGCCCCAAGAGCAATAAAAACACTTGGTAAAAAAATCCTGAGTGAGGCTTTCATAAATTGCATTTAGCTGACGCTTTTATCCAAAGCGACTTACTATTTAATAATGATAAATGATTATTCATAACAAATATGAGTGATTTGTGATTATTATTCATGCTATATACTGATATAGGGCTAAGTAAGCAATCAATCCTGCAAATTAACCCTTAGTTGTTCAATATATTTATTCAGACAATGTGAGTAGAAATACAGAAATTCTGCTCCCACCTAAGGCCAACGTTGCAATATTACAACATTTCCCTAAAAACTTACCAAAACGTAAACATTTTTAAAACTCTTCATTTCTGCTCCAGAGGCCAGGGGTTAAATTGGGATTTGATATGTGGGGGGGCTCTGTTAGAAGGTGCGACGGGGGGGGGGGGGGTTGTCGGCCGTAAGCGAACCGGGTGGATATGTGGGACACTGAAAAGTCTATGTTAAAAAGCCTCAGTCACCTTAATTCATGTAATAAAAACATCTCAGGTCAGTCACACTCAAAGCTAAATGTGCAATACCATGTTCAGCTATGTTACTATTTATAATGTTATTGTTGTTGCAACAGAAGATGTTTTTCTTTATATTGAAGTTAAATGCATCAATCTGGTGCACTTTGAGGGCAAAATTAAGAGATTTATGGATACAGCTCTCAACACTCATATGAAACAGAACTGTTATAATAATGAAGAGAAACTATGAAATAAGAAATGAATCAAATTAAAATGTAATTATCATATCATATATTATATAGTGTATTGTATTATTAAGTAATATCATGCATTAACCCCATTATAGCAGACGCCACATTGAATGGATGAACACATTTATGCATCAATAATTACAACAGAGTATTTCTAAATACAAGTTGTAAAAATACTTATATGTATTTAATACTAATAACATAATGATTAATTTTACTTTCAGATGATAATACTTTTCAGGGTTAGGGTTAGGTCCGGTCTGACAGTGCTTAGCTCTCTGCTGCAGAGAGGAAGAGAAGATCACTGCTCTAAACAAAGTCAAAAATCGTACATCCAAACGGAATAAATATAATTAATTATTATTAATACGTTAAGTCTTGTTCATTGTTTTTCACTTTTATGAAATGTTTGATATTTCCGGCACAGACCCTTTCATACCGGCAAAGCGCGATAGAAACAACAGGAACTGCGACAGCATAAATATGCAAACACAAACCTACAGACTGCTGGAGAAGAGATATCACAGGGGTGGGTTGGGACACACACATTCCGATGGCCAATGAGTTTTAAACAAAGAGTATACTCAACATAGGGGGGTGGGGGCTGGTGAACGGTATGGTCAATGTTTGTAAACACTGTGACATTTTGACTTTATTTGATCATTTCAGTTAAAAACTAACGTTCATATTTCTCTTTTTGAGAAGAGAAATATGAATATGTTAGTGGCTGACCCAGCCCCATGGTCTGTCACAGTAGTGCGGGAAAGAGAAGTGCACTGTTTTGCCTGGCTGGACCTGTAATTTACAGGAAAGGAGTGCACGCTACTAAAGAGACACGCTACCATGGAAACCAAACAATGGTGTTGCTGTATTGAAGTCCGAGTGGAAACAGTCATATTTGGAGCGTTATGTTAGAATGAAACAGCCAGGTCGTGACTCACAAAAAAAAAGTGTTACTTCACTAACTGTAAGGTTGTCACTCAGAGTAACCTACAGTTAACTTAACTGTTGGAAAAGAAAGATCAGGGGGGGGAGAGAGCTGTGGCTGATGGGCCATTAGGTGTGTAAACACACAGCTGAGAGCTGCCGTTTCATTCTGACTGGTAACAAACGGTAACAACGGACTATTTTTCTTAGCGGATGCATGTCAATTTAAATCAATACATACAACTATTTTTTAAATCAATAAAAACATTTTCTAAATCCATAAAAGCATTTCAATTAATATTGGGAGTCATGTCGTTACTTTGTTGAGAATGTGGCCATGTAATAAGCGGGATAATTTGCAGCGACTTGGTCATTATGGGGAAAAAATAACACCCAGGGATCAAGATCCCTGCGCTACGCGTCGGGATCTTGATCTGCCTGACAAGGCTCCATTAAAATATAAATATTTTTAGTGAATTACTGAGTTTAGGCACGTTAATAACATTTTAATGAAGTTGAATACAGTATATTCATATTTGTCAGTGATTTCATGTCAATTCGGCGAACATAAACATAAATGATCGTGGTGAAGATGATGATTAAATTAGGATTAAAAATCGAGAGCCGGCTGCATTTCCTCTCGTTCGTTTTTTTCGACTAAACAAACATTATTTTGTTAAATAACAACATGGTGATATTTTGTAAATGATTACATGTCTTATTTAGCACAGACTATGATCCTATCCGTGACATATGGATCTTAACAAAGATCCGCTATACATTAGTACCAGACATACTGTCCATCCAGTTTACTGTATCGAAGTTGATTTCACATGAGCTCCAGTGTGGAACCCCACTGCACCCCCTGGTGGATCAATGATCCATTGCAGCTGGCTTCACAATAATTAAATGTATTTATCACGGGGGCGGTATCAAGTCAGACTGGGGGCCGGCTATTCATCACGAACCGATCACGGGCCGATCACGGACCAATCACGACCCAATCATGACCCTCGCGTTTCAAACTGTCTGAATAAGATGCTCCATCTGTAAAAGTATTAAAAACTTGAAAAATATCCCTCTAAGGTACATTTAGAACAGAAAAAAAAAGTGCGATTAATTTGCGATTAATCGCGATTAACTATCGACAATCATGCGATTAATCGCGATTAAATATTTTAATCGACTGACAGCCCTAGTTTAAAATAATGTTTGGTCATGTTATATGATCACCTGTATGAAGATCCAGTTGCGTGTTCAGGTGAGAAGGATTCAGCAGCCTGGAACAAACAAAGTTTGTCAAACACAGTATTACCAGCCAATCGCAGTATTACCAGCCAATCACAGAACACAAGTACCAGCCAATCACAGCACAGTTTTACCAGCCAATCACAGCACAGTATTACAGCCAATCACAGAACCGAAGTACCAGCCAGTCGGAATATTTCCCATTTCGTCGGGCATCCAGATATTTTAAATGGCATCGTCATATACATTTATTGAATCAACTTGGTGATATGTAATCCTCTTGGGCACACCTCCCATTAAAATAAAAAAATAAAAATTCAATAGAAATATTCATAACTCATAATCGAATACCTGAATCATTTCGATCAATTGCGAACGTTATAGCGTTTAACTTGACAGCCCTAACAATCATATTTTAATTCAGTGGTGAAATAAATACACTTCACTCTTTACGCTCCTCTCTCACCTTTCTGTCCGTCTTCACTTCCTGTTCCACATTGGAGTCACCTGATGGAAAGAAGAAGTGAGAGGTGAGAAAATTCAGAGAAATGTTGACTGTGTGACTGAAACTTGTGTGCACGTCCCGATGCTAACATTACCCCCGCTGAGTAAGTATTAATAGCATTAGTTGAATTGTTAAGTACAACGAAGAATATCCATACATTTTGTGTGGCTTTGCCAGTCACACATAATTAAACTTGAACAAAGAGAAATATTAGCAGCCAAAATGATTGAATAGAGCTGTAACAAATGGAATTAAAAAATATTGTTGTTGTACTATAAAGACTATTTAAGATCAGATTTAATGTACAATATATTGATGAATAGAGGACATGGTTTCAGTACTCACAGGTCTTCTGGATCTGGGCTCTGATCGTCTCATTATTGATCCTGTAGGGATGAACACAATCCAACAGTTTTAGATCCAGTTTAAAATAAGTGTTTGTTCTTTAAGTCAGCGTTGTTACTCAGATCCTGACTGATCTAATGCTTTACATTCCATGATATCTTCTCTGCAAACTCTACGACTGACTACCACAGCTCTCTGCTGCATTACAGGAAGTAAACAGTCATTAGTCTAGAAACCATGAGTTGGAGTAAATAAATGGAACTGAACTGCACTTTCTGACCAGAACTCCTTTATTTGAGGCCCTTAAGTGGTCAACAAATTCAAGCCGGCAAAATATCAGTCAAATTCATTTCACAACCCATAAAAAACAGACTACCTTTTCCACTCTTATGTACAATCCCATATGTCTGTGAGAGAGTTGATTCCTTATTAAAGTTTGCCTTTGCATCTTCAGCTGGCCTTCTATAGTTTATCGAATAATGAAAGAGCCTGCAGTCAGTGGGTAACATCACTGATCTGTTGTGATTCCCCAGCGAGAGAAACACCTCCCTGTGTTTAATACAATACTGCTGAACCAGCGACGTTGACTCAGTCTCTACCCCTCACTGACCTGAGAGTCTCCAGTCTGCAGTGTGGACTCTCCAGAAGATCAGTGAGCAGCTTCACTCCTGAAACCTGCAGATAGTTGTAACTCAGGTCCAGATCTCTCAGATGGGAGGGGTTGGACTTCAGAGCTGAGGCCAGAGCAGCACAGCTGATGTCTGACAACCTGCAGCTCCCCAGTCTGAATAAAGAAACATGATGAGGATAAAAATCCATTTATAATCTAATCAGATGTTCAGGTTTAATATGTGTAGCTCAACATTACCACGTCCTAATCAATGAGCTTTTCCCTGAATTACAGTGACTGTCATTCTGTTATTAAGGATCATCATTATATCAGCATTCTGTTTATTTTCTGTGAAAACACATTGAAATTATTTGGAACATAAACATTTCTGTGTCAGAAAGTAAACTTTACGTACAACTAATATTAGTTCAGAGGACCTTCTTTATTCAGACCATTTACTAAAAAAACATACATTTACTTTAACAACCAACAGTGGAAGAGTAATAGTTTCTTTAGGAAACAATCAACTGTTATGACAACATTTACAAACGTATGGATGTAATATATGTATGTAGAAGAATTAGGTTGAATAACTAATGAAACATGAGATCTCCAGCAGTAACAGAGTCAGTGAACTGACCTGAGAGTCTCCAGTCTGCAGTCTGGACTCTCCAGAAGATCTCTCAGCAGCTCCACTCCTGAATCCTGCAGATCGTTGTTACTCAGGTCCAGATCTCTCAGATGGGAGTGGTTGGACTTCAGAGCGTATATCAGAGCAGCACAGCTGATCTCTGACAAACTGCAGTACTCCATTCTGAATAAAGAAAACATTATGTAACTTCAGAAAACAATGTTCCCGTTTGAAATAACGGTAACACTTTATATTAAGGTACACAAATTCACCATCAACTAGTTGATCATTTACATGCATATTAGCAGTATATTGGCTCTTTATTAGTCATAATAAAATACTTATTAATGGTTTATTCTACATGACCGTATTCTACAAGTAATAGGCCATTAGTTGAGAGTTTTTCCTCAATAACCCTCTAATTAGTGCTTATTTATTGCAAGTAAGGAAGTTGTTGTCCATGAGTTTGTCTTAATATGCTCTGCTCAATATGGGCCTAATAAGGCAGTAGTACCACCAGAATAGTAATTCTCCCATAATTAACACTTAACCTGTTAAGCACCAAGCCTGTTTTTCATGTTCAGGCTCGAAAATGACATGCCCAAAAACAAATGACTACAACTTAACTTCTAAAAGGGTTTATATGAATAATTTCTTTTTATCAAAGCAAGGTACATCTGTGAGTTGGATGTAGAAGTGTCAGAATCAATATAGATGTTTTTTATTTTAAAGAAAATTCAGATTTTACATAGTAAAAAACTGTAAAATTATAGTGTCCAAATATTCTTTTATACAGATAGTGAACAACTACCCTTAGATGATGGGTTAGTAGACTAAAAGCTTTAGGAATTCAAGTACCCTGTATCCAGATTTGATGCAAAACAAGTGACATTGACCTTTTTAGAGAGGTTTATAGCCAAAACCACCCCACCTCTGTGGTGATTTGGGTGAAAATGTTTTTTTTTTTCCATATCTCTGGCCCCCCTTGGTCGATTTTGATGGTTGACACCTCTTTCTGACCGTTAGAGCCAATATAATCGAAGGGGAGAACCCCACACACACACGTTGTGAAGAGAAAAGGTGGGGGCTGCGCGCATGTACATTTGCAGCAGAGTGGACCTATCTCTAGCTCTGGAATTTGGAAACGAAAAAGCAGTTTTATTGCTTATGGATTATCAGAAATCATTTCAAAGAGGACACAGACACATTGGATTAACCTATGGATTAACTGCAGCATCGTTTTTTTTGTCGTTTTAATGCCATTGAAGACCAGTTTTGACCAAGGTAAGCCATGTTAGCGTTTCTAGCTACCTAGCTCCACATGTTATGATGTACGCTTTCGTTTATAGCGTCGCAAATGTTTATCACTGAGTGTTGAGGTGGGCACCCCCAGATTCTGTGTCTCCAGCTGATGCAAAACGATGGGTTGGCTGTGCATCTAGGATAAGTAATAAGGGAGTTAGAGTGAGTTTAAGTGCCATTTTAGGTTACAAAATTCAGATTTTACATAGTAAAAAACTGTAAATTATAGTGTCCGTCCAAAGATTATTTTTTACAGATAGTGAAAACTACCCTTGGATGATGGGTTAGTAGACTAAAAGCTTTAGGAATCCAAAGTACAACATATAATAAGTACCCTGTATCAAGATTGATGCAAAACAAGTGAGATTTGACCTTTTTAGAGAGATTTAGCCAAAAACCCCCACTTCTGGGGTCATTTGGGTGGATTTGACCTATCTCTGGCCCCCCTTACTCGATTGGGATCGTTGACACACCTTTCTGACCGTTAGAGCCAATAGAATCGAAGGGGGAGGCCCACTCACACACTCATTGTAAAGAGAAAAGGTGTGGGCTACGCGTCTAGAAATGAAACTATTTTTGCAGATTTTGTCCTTCTGGAGTTTGGAAATTAAAAAGCCGTTTTATTGCTTATGGATTATCAGAATAATTTCAAAGAAGGCACAGATACATAGGATGAACCTATGGATTAACTGCAGTATCGTTTTTTTATCGTTTAAATGCCATTGAAGACCAGTTTTGACCAAGGTAAGCCATGTTAGCGTTTCTTGCTACTTAGCTCCACATGTTATGATGTACGCTTTCGTTTATAGCGTCGCGAATGTTTATCACTGAGTGTTGAGGAGGGCACCACTAGATTCAGTGTCTCCAGGACACCAAAAACGAGTGGTTGGCTGTGCATCTAGGATAAGTAATAAGGGAGTTAGAGTGAGTTTAGGTGCAGAGATAGGTTAATTTTTTTCGCTCGTGGCTAATTCAGAGGCTGAGTGCTAGCATTGTGGGTTTTTTTTGGAAAAAAAAATTAAAAAGATCAGTTAGCTGAGTTTCTTCCCGTTACATGGATATAAAACATTCATAGTTTATTAAATATTAAGATTCCTTAGACGTTGTTTCCTGCAAATGACGCGTTTATCCGCCCGGTACCGGGGGGGCCGTGCGTAACAGGTTAACAAATATGATCTATTCTTATGTAACAAGACATTAAACTATTAGTGTTAATTGTGTCTAAATAACTCTATTGCTGGTGAAGCTGTATCACCAGCAAGACAATGCTGGTAGACCAGCAAGACCAGCATGGTGAAGCTGGTACACCAGCAAGGTCTGATTATGTTAGCTGGTGAAGTTGGATTACCATTTTAGCTAAATAAATAGAGAAAGAGAGACAGACAGACAGACAGACAGACAGACAGACAGACAGACAGACAGACAGACAGCGAAACGACGACACAGCAGTAGTTGAAACAAAACGGTATAAAACGTGGTTTTGACGGGCGCGAACGGTCGGGAGTGAAGATCAGTTGAGCCGTTTCTGTGACCCCGCCCAGCAGCTGCTCTTCTGAGAGGAACCGCTCTGACAGCTCTGTGGGGAAACACGCACCTCCTTCTGGAGGTAAGCAACATTACACAATTTCACCCAGTCTGAGAGTAAAAGCTTTCTCGAAGGTTTGTTTTGCTTTCTTACAACATTACGTTAATGTTAAGTTAACCTTAAGTTTGCTAGTAGGCTATTGTTACTTCCCTTCACAAGAGCTAGCTGTCTTAGCTAACAACAGATAGCAGTTTGTGTTGCCCCTGAAAAACATGATGTAGTTATTTAAGGGCAGTGTTGGGCAAGTTACTTCCAAATGTAATATATTACATATTACTTATTACTGTCTTTTTAAAGTAATAAGTTACATTACAATATTACTGTCTCTGAAATGTAATGAGTTACACTACTTTTATATTACTTTTGAGTTACTTTCACCAAAATAACCGCAAAAGAATGGCTAGGTATTTAAAGCTAAAATGTAGTTTAGTGCAGCTCATTATACATCCAGTGAAGGGCAATGTGTTATAGCATAACAACTGTGTAGGCCATTAAGGCTACTAACAACTTTTATTACACGGCTTAGTTGAATACTCGATTCTGATGTAAATTCTTAACATGTGACACGGTGTTAATACAGTACAGACCACTGTCAAGGACTATAATGAAGGTTGCTAAGGAGGATCAAGAAAGAGAAAGGAAAAGAGGTTAAAAGACGGAGCGCTGGACGTCAGATAAATCACCAGAAGAAGGCAGAGAGGAAGTAAACAATAACAGGACACGGAATGGGCTCTGTATTGTTTTAGTATATAGGCCATGTACAGGCCTGGTTCCAGAACAAAATGACTTGGGGTGCATCTGAGATTACAGGGGGTGCAGCAGTAGTTGGTTTACATGAGCAATAGTGGCCGGCAACAGCAATGAAAAATAGCATTGATGTTATGGTCCCCAATGAACAGATTATGGCATTTGTTATGTTTTGAAACCAAGCAAGTGAGAACATTTCAAGTGTGTTAAAAGTGCAATCCTGAAATATTTCACATTAAAAACTGTACTGATAAAACAAATGAGAACATATTGTAAATCAAGGCAAATATTATTTGAACCAGCTCATGGTTTGAAATGGCAAACATTGAAAAGCAAAAGTATTATTAAAACCATGTACTACATCATCACCTTGGTCCCATCATATACTCTGGGAAGAGAATTTTTACTGTGCTTGAAAACTGGTATCACATCATCATGTGAGGTTGACTTTGTGACCTGGAGAACATTTCAGCTGCAACATTAGCTTGTTGATAAGCTTGGATATGAGATTTTTTGTAGCCATTCATGGTGAAGGCATCTGTGCTATTGTATGCATTATTTTTGACCCAACATTTCTACAGGCATGGCAGAATATGACACTTTTACATTAATATTCTAGCCATTGTCTATTTTATACCACGAGCTGCAAAATGACCGCCTGCCCTTACCCCACTGTACAGCGGGGGTACTTGTTTAGATATACCAGGTCAGGCTCTGTTTGCCGTGGTATCCTGGTACCTGCGGGACGCAGAGGGGCGGCGTAGTTTTTGGGCGACGAAGACTGCTGCTCCTGGGGCGAGGGCGGCGAGTCAGGCGGGAGTAAGCTAGTGTCCACAACGGAGGGTAACGTGATGTCCCCATCTGATCTGTTGTTACTGTCTGCAGTAGGTGCAGTGTTGCTGGCGTTTAGTGATGGTTGCTTTAACCATTTTCGTATAAATGATTATCCACAGATGTGTGTCTCTGCTGTGGAAGCACTTTGGAAATGATACACGCACAGTGGAGCAGGTCACGCGCACCTGACACAATTTGTTGTTTGTATTTTTCGCTCCGTTCTCTTTTTTGAATAGAGGGTGCATAACATTCAACTGGGGGTGCACTCATAGACTGTATATATAAAGGGTGCAATGCATGCCTATGCACCCCGAAGATCCCGACGCGAAGCCTGAAGGGTAAACACCAGGTTTACTAATCTACCCGCACAATTTTTCTCTGGTGTCGGAATGTCTCGCTATGTTAGTACATTCTTAAAAAACAAAACACCATTTAATTTCGGGTAAAATGTGTTGTAACTGCGTTACTGAGCATTGTAACGGGTAATATATTACCCACATTTCATTAGTAATGACACATTACTTTGTTACAGCAAAAAGTAATATATTACTGTAACTCCGTTACTTTTGTAACGCGTTACACCCAACACTGTTTAAGGGTGAGTTAACTTAACATTATCTTACAAGTTGAGAGAGTTAAGTTATATCTCTCACAGGCTCCGCCCTCTACTGGACTCTATGGGTACTACCCTCTATGCAAGCATTCACCTACTGAGATTTCTTTAGACGGCCTTGGGGCGGGCCTACCTGAATGCGCGCGCATCTCACCGTATAAAAGGAGGCCTTGCCTCCTGACTATCATCCCTTTCTCTTCAGCGAGCAGGCAACAACTGAAGCAGAGATAAGACGTTTGAGAGAAGAAGAAAGAGTTATCATACCTCCAGGGAGTCGCCACTGCTAGAGACCCGGGCCTGTTCTTCGTGCCCTGGCTTAAATAGCGGGCGCCGATCCACACCACCTCTGCTTCGAGTGTTTGGGGGACCAGGATATGGCCGAGGCGGTGCCATTCACGTTCACCATTCCTTCCGGGTCCGGCGTCCATGGAAGTCCACCGCCCAGGGCTGTACTCTCCCTGGATGATGATCATGGCGACGGGTGCGTGGGCTACTCGCTCATTGCTAGAGATGCCCCCCGCCTCACCAGGTCGATTATTGGGCCGCAAGGTCGAATAAGTAGCTTGGTCCACGGGCCTTGCCCCAGGCCCGGTTCCCCCGGGGACCGGTGCTCGGTGCTCAGTGGCTTCACATGATATAGGGTGGACCCTACTTCATCGCAGGCCGCTGCTGCCTGCCGTTTGATGTCCCTGGGGGATCACGCCGCATGGCACTTTCCAAAGAGGACCGTGTTGATCTCCTGGGAGCCCCCGTGTTTACGGAAGGGCTCTTTGGATCGATCTCCTTGCTCACGGGATAAGAAGTAATCGCAGCGTGGCTGCTTCTTGCTCATCCCCAGAGGAAGGAACACTGTCCTACACTCCCCGCCCCCTGCTGTAAACCCCAGTATAGGGAGCCAGCAGTTGGGCGCGTGCACGTGAGTGGAATAAACCGAGTGCTGTCAAAGCACTGTGCGGATTCAAGAGACGCTATTGCCGGCGTGCTGTTGTCAGAAAACACACCTTCCCTGGTATAATAGCTCCGATTAATGCATTTCACCATTGAATGGGAAATACAGCATTAATATGTGGGCGCGCGGCCCTCGTAAGAGGAAGAGAGAACGGTGGGTTACGTTTGTAAAACTCTAGTTCTAGAGTGATGTGTGTGGGGAAAAATGCATTCAGTAAAAACGATTGCATTTATCCCAGAGTAAGAGTCATCTCTCTCCACAATTCCACTTTTCCCATAATGTCCGTTTCAAAGAGACGGCAATGTGACGGGGATGTGGGTACAGGGACATTATGGCCGGCGTATTACTGTCAGAGAACACACTACGCCTAGAGCAAAGACTCCAGTTAATGCAGTTTACCGTAGTGGCAAGGGCTGCATTATGGCGGAGCCCGCACTCACACAAGAGCGCGTGGCGGTGTGTTCAGGGACCTCAGTAGAACACACTACGCCTATAAAGACTCCGGTTAATGCAGTTTACCGTAGTGGTAAAAACAGCATTATGGTGGAGCGCATGCTCACACAAGAGCGCGTGGCGGTGCGTTCAGGGACCTCAGTAAATAATCGGCCCTTTCGGTGTCGACCCTCCATGGGCAAATCTTCCCTTCACGGGGAGTTTTGCGGCGGAACGGGTCACCAGAGAGTATCACAGCTTCATAGCTGCGGCCCCACAACTGAGGGCTTGTCCATTAACACAATGTTATGGGGAATGGAAACTCAGCTGTGTGCTAACAAAGTGGATGGACAGGACGCTGAAACGGGGCTATTCACTCAGTTTTGCAGCATCCCACCTCCATTTATGGGCATGCGAGAGGTAAATCTGTCATCCCAGGAGGAGATGGGTTTCCTCTCAGCAGAGATTCAGGCTCTGGTGCAGAAACAGGCTGTGTCTGTTGTGCACAGAGAAAAGGGTTTATTCCATGTACTTCCTGGTTCTCAAGAAGACAAGGAAATTCAGACCTATTCTAGATCTCCGCGGCCTGAATTGACACATTTCCTGCAGGAAATTCTGCATTTTAACTATGAAACAGTTATGGGGCTTGTGCAGCCAGGCGATTGGTTCACCACCATCGACCTGAAAGACGCATACTTTCATGTAGAAATTGCTCCAGAGCACAGAAAGTATCTGCGTTTTGCCTTCCAGGGGGTAGCCTACGAGTACAACAGGCTGCCGTTCGGCTATTCCCTATCCCCACGCACATTCAGCAAATGTGTGGCCACAGCGCTTCAACCGCTGCGCGCCCACGGCATGAGAGTTTTCTTTTACCTAGACGACCTCATAGTCATGGCTGGGTCCCGGGAACAGGCAATGTTTTGCACAGCACAATTGATCACACACCTAACCAAATTAGGCTTTGCAATCAATTGGAAAAAGAGACGCAGACGCGCTACGCGCCACCCTGTCAGAGAGCAGACGTGCGTCCCTTCTCCGGGCGGTTGACAGGCTGCGACAGGGGGCGACAGTGACAGCTTTAACTGTCATGCAGACTCTGCGTCTCATGGCGGCTGCTCACATTGTGGTCCCGCTGGGGTTATGCGCATTTGGATCCCAAGAGGCACAAACGGCGGCTGGTGACCATCCCCCCCTCAGTGGAGGGCAACCTCCGGTTTTGGGGGTCCCCGGATCACCTCCGGAGGGGATCTCCACTGGGACGGGTGACCTCCTACATCACAGTGTTCACGGACGCATCCAGAACAGGATGGGGGGGGACCTGCCTGAAGAGGGCTATAGGTGGGCGCTGGTCTCTAACAGAGTCACGACACAGCAACCTCCTAGAGCTACGGGCGGGAGTGTTAGTCCTCCGGCATTTCATGTCCCTAATTCAAGGGAGACATGTAATGGTCAGGAGCGACAACAGCACCACAGTGGCTTATATCAACAGGCAGGGCAGTCCACTCCGCCCTTGTTGACCACAGCAGAGAAACTGTGGTTATGGGCTTCAGAGGTGGTGTTATCTCTGAGAGCCCTCCGCATCCCGGGACTGGAGAACAGAGGGGCCGACCTCATGTCGAGGGGCTGCCAGGCGAGTGGGTGCTTCACCCAGAGGTGGTGAAGCAGATCTTGGCCCAGTTCGGGAGAGCGGAAGTGGACCTGTTCGCCATCCGGCGCAACAGCCACTTTGCCCTGTGGTTCTCCATGGCCCTGAGCGACGACCCGCCCTTGGGGGGGGGTGGG